TCACAGAATATTTGTGTTCCTCACCCACAATTTTAAGATTTATGATACCACATTCTTTACGAGCATTAGCATTTTTATAACCTAACCTAACCTTTCATTTTAACAGTATCTTCTTCAAATATCTGACGCTTAAACTACGAACCCAACAGACGAGACAGTGCACATAAAATCTCATACCTAGTAGCATTGCAAGCTATAAATCACGATTTGAAAATAAATGCTTCACACTTCAAAGCACTAAACAACATCCTGGGTAAAAATTCAGTTTGTATAGCGATGTTTTCCATCTTGTGCCTCAACCCCATGACAGTTCTCTACTAATTCTTGACAAAAGATAAAAGTAAAACTACACTAAAAATATTACACTACATTTCGAATTTATAGGCGTCATTATGGCGTATGAGTTACTTCTCTTGTTCATAATCTTTTGTTTTACAACACTTTTCTTTCGTTAGTAGACTTGTTTGGAGTAATAAGCTTTTCTGTTATAATGAATAAACTCGTATATTGAAATGTTGAGATTAAGAGGTCGGAACAGGCGATAACCTATTCTTGATAGAAATTTACGATGACTGAAGTACTGATAATGAGACTCTAGAAAAAAATAATCACGAAAAATTTTCAGACATGCGTTAGTGTTGCATCCTACTGCAAGCGAGCACTAACATATTTTTAATTTTTAGATTTTGACGAAGTAGTTTAATTTTGTGATCCATTTCTAAACTAAATCGATTATTAAACTATGTTTTATTCTTACCTACTGGAATAATATTTCATTTCGTTTTCTCAAAGAATAGATAAAATAATTAAAAATAAATGTCTCACAATTATTAAAGAACTTTCATACAGACAAATCGCATCTGTTATATTGTAAGCAAGCTACTGGTCTCTGATCAGAAATCTAAAATGAACTAAATCATCCATTAGTCGTAAAGTAATGCCAACAGTTTAAACATATAAGTAAGTAAAATATGACAACAGCACATTCTGCATCTTTAGACTGCCTACAAAATGTCTGCAGAACCACATGTGTGAATTGAGGAAGCCACTTGAAGGTGAATTTGGCAAGAGGGCGGCGGATACATTTTAAACATCCATTCTGTCTCTTACACGTCACTGGTACATTTACATCCAAGTTGTAATTATATTTGTTCTCTCCGTGGCTACTCGCTTCAGCATCCCATATCATGTTTTGTATGTGCTTCACGAGTTGAAACGATTACGTATTTGATGTCATCTTCATTTCGTTGTTATAAAAAACACTCTTGCAGACAGACTCGCAGACGAATTGCAGTTATTCTACATCTGCTGCTTTTGTAGACGGCTTCTTTGCATCGAGGGAAATTAAGCTATATAACTGAAGCTTTCTGCGAATAAAATATTTTAAAGAAAAAAAGTCTCGTTAACTTACTCTAAGATATAAAGGAACGAAATTCATATGTTACTCTCGTAAAATAATTTAAAAGCTCTATAAAACAAGATGTCAGGAAATGTACTCACAGACAGGGTGGGGGGGGGGGAAGGGGTACCCGGCTTGGTGATGATCTCATCACGGAAAGAAATCCCCACTGTCGTAGTTTCACGGCTAGCTGAGAATTTCCGATGCAGGGATTCCCAAGATGTCCTAGAGATTCCCCACTAATTCACTTCCGCTCAAAGAAACACAGATGGATCTTCAAGTAAAGTGTCCTGTCTCGTCTTTGTACATCCTTAAGTTTATAAGCTAATTTTACCAAGATTCAGAACAATTTCTCTCTATCACCGAGTAAAATTAAAATTATAATAATTATTAGAGTGTTAAAAGAAAATAAACAATAGTGACTTATTTCAATATACTGCACACTCCGTCATCATTTACATTCTTTAATTCGAGACGAATCTCATAAGAGAACTCATCACATTAATACGAATACAAATGATCCGTTTCGCGTACATTTCGTCGTGCCTGATTTTCTTGCCATCAATCTGAGGATATGCAGATTATGAACACGAGAAGGGCCCTCAGAAACAGCGTCTCGTACTGAAAGAGAAAGCATCCAACAGTGAAGGAATAACAGAAGACATGCACTTGCGGAATTTATATTGAAATTCCGGGCCTTGGTCACCGTTAATATCTGATACCAGTCATCATGTGGAAAGCTTGTGGCATGTGGAAATATACAAGTTTTAGAGGAATAAGTAACGAGGCACGAATTCGAGTGCTTTGTCCTGTAATCCCATGGCCAGAATATTATTTGATGTGATAACAGCACGTGTTTACGTTTCGCAAAGAAAATCTTTTGGGTTGTAGCCCCTTATAATTATTACTGGGATAAAATTCTGACGATTACAAGAATAAAATCACTGTTGTAATCTTCCTACCATGAAAATGAAAGCAAGCAGTTGCTCAGACACTGCGAAAAATTCTTAAATTAATTGCATTTATGCAATATATTTTTTCATGCATATCCAAGTATGATAATTAAGTTCGTTTGCTTAGCTTTACTCGGAATTGTCTCAAGCAAGCTCAAAAAATACTTACTGTTTTGGAGTAAAATGGTCGTTAAAACTGTCAGATTTAAATGAACAGTGGTGTGTTTCGACCAGTTTCCGAAAAGTTCTCCTGCTTAAAATTTAATTAAAATCGGTTTAGTGAAGGCGATCCATCGCGTTCTGTGCACATGACAAAACCTAACCTCTTTCGGTCTCCCAGGTGTCTACTTTCACAAAAGGTTTCTGAACAAACATTTCTTGCCTTCATTTGTTTCCCCAACTCATATCTTATCACGTTTAAATTAGTCGGGATAGATTTTTAATAAAATATAGTTCAAATATCAAAATCAATTTATTTTAATGATAGTTAATTAATTTTAAAATGTACGTATAGAACTCCCACTTGCATATATTTCTTAAATTTATCAGATTAGGCAGCGTTCTGTCTTTCCCTCCTCTTCAATGTGCGTTTATTGAATCAGTTACTACGATGGATGAATAAATGGTTACATCGCATATTTCAATGTTGATAAAAGCGATCTCACCTCTTTTGTATTACGAGTGCCTCCTAGCACACTTCTTACGTAAGGCAAATTTTTAGACAAAGACCAAATACCAGTGTTGAAACATCAACTGAGCAATGTCGTAACAGTACAGAAAGGACTTTCACGAAATTATTACCAACATTGTTTCCAGGAACGCCGGCGACATTTCTGTAGGATGCATAAAGGGACGCTGACCACACAAACTAGCGCTCAGGTTCGTAACTTGTGGGGCACTCCCTTGGCTGTCGTATGAGGATTCGAGTGTAGAGGGGTGGGGAGATGCACAAAGGATGCTGGGACAAAAACATTCCCTCAAAAACTACAGCGGTTTCTTCTTACCCAATTACAACATGTTACTGACTGTCTACCGAATGAAGCAGCTTCGGAGTTATGACACGTAATTCAATACCAAAGTGCCAAAGTGAAGCAGTTTAGAACTAGATCGATAAATTAGCATAGACAAATTCAGATCACCAGCTCAGATCACAATAAAAACTATTTAAATATTTTTAATTATGTTTTATTTATTTTTAGTATTAATATTATTATTATTATTCTCCAGTTTAAACTGATCCTAAATAATCAAACATGCATAAAAAGATCCACGACACTCCGAAAATTCATGTTAAGAGACGGAGAGAAAATACAATGAAGTGTCTTCGCCTGCAGACATTCTTCTGTCACGTTTTTTTTTTTTTCAAAGTAAAATCATCCTAGTGAACATTACTGTGAGGAGGTCGAGAAAATCAAACGCAAGTCTAGGGAAACTTCATTTCATTAGAAGCTGCCAGTCAAGTTTCTTGTGAGTTTTTACAAAACTGTTCATCACTGTCATTCATCGCCATAAATATCGATGTCGTACATCTTAAATATTGCCTGAAAAGACTTTGTAAAATAATGAAGAGCTTAAATTTTAATCCGATACCCTCAAATACGTACAAAGGAAGATTGACAAACATGCATCCGCCGGGTAATGGCTTACGTTTATATTTTCTTAGTCATATGTGATAAGGCAACACTTAATTTTAAACGTCACACTGCACATCTTAAGACAAAAAAGGAGTGTCCCAAGGTGAAAAAGAGATATAGATAAACACCGACAACAACACAAGAAAGGATTAATACGAGATAAGGAAGGAGAATAATAGAGGTCATTTGTAAGAACCGAATCTGTGATCCCCTTTCTACATTTTGCTGATCTATCGATTACAACAATTTATTTTATCTGACCTAAATATTTCTGCATGGCTGCTAAATGATATACGCTATCGGAATAGCACGTAGTGAATTTACTGACAAGTACACAGTTTTCAATTTGTCTTGTTCCTTTTTAATCCTTTTTTTTTCCTTTCAGTCATTTTTCGTCTAAACCCTTTTTATTTCTGTTTCTGCCTTCCCTCATTTATTTTCGAAGAATGAACTCTAAAAATTCGACGTGGAACTCTGTGACTTGATGAACAGAGTGTTTTGGCATCAGCACAACGTAAAAATGAGTTGCAGGTGACACCTACTCTTCAAGAATACTGTCATCTCACTGTTTAAACACCAGTGAAATCACGAGGTGACTTATAGACATACCAGCACATACCACAAACAGGGCTCTGTAAGATTACGTAATTTTCTATCTGAAGCCACGTACAGAATGTCCCAAAACGTTGTATGCACAGCAGAAACTTTGGTGACCCCTCGACAGTGAGATTCTCACCGCTGTCAATTTGCACTAAGCTAAGTGTGGCAATTTTGAACACCTACACCAAATTCGCTAATTCACTAAGTGCCAATTCTGACCTATTTACATCAAGCTAATAGATGCCTCTGTCCACTATCTTAGTCCAATAAGATGCAGGCTTTTAGAGATGGGCCGCGGGATCTCCATTATCCTATCACCGTCTACAAGTTGTCCTCTGTAGAAATGTTAACACAAGGAAAGACAAGTTTATTTCTTTTAACATTCTTTTGTGCATGTATCTTGCCAAGCAAGGACAACGTAGTCCAAATAGCGAATTGTCTCTGAAGGTCAGTTGTGGTGCATCGCTTGGTCTGAGTGCAGTGTTATTGAGAACGTTACAAATATCTTCAGTTTTCCTAGACACATTTTACAATTTCGGCCACTAATATTACATTGATAATTGCTGCATAAACTGTAAGTATGCCAATAAATTACGTAAAACAGTGTGGTCCAACTGGAGGCCCGCGGGCCGGATCCGGCCAGCGAAAGTATTTGTTAATTTGTTACTAGTTAGTACATACTCATTTCTTTTTCGAAATTGATATTCTGTCACTGGTAAAAGAACATTCTGCTCAGTGCTCTCACTAAAGCCATTGACTTCAAGAGCATAATATGTACGTTCTGCTGGTAGAAATTTTTATTGTATCAGATACAAGCTGTTAAAGTGGTGGAGTTTAAATAATTTGTGTAAGTTTTCCAGATAAAAATTGTGAGAGGTACAAGCAAATTTAAAATAATAAACAACTCTGTAGTAGTTTATGCACTTTTAAATAAAATTTATATTTCACCATATGCAATAATAATTTGTCATTTCTGAATAAGTATTATTAAAGATAGAGACAATGTAAAAATAGTAACAGCAGGGTTTCTTGGACCTTGGGTCTAATAGGAAAACTATTCTGGCCCGAGCGAGGAAAAAAGTTGGACAACCCTGACGTAAGATATCACATGACATAGTGCAAAGAACGTAGAATGTATTTGGTATCCGGTTCATGACGTGTGCTTCAGTGTTTAAAATCTGTAATTGATAATTCGAACAACGTGTTGCGTGTCTCGAAGTAATTTGTATTAAAAATTCTATTGGAGTGATCAATATCTTATCGTAGATAAGAAATAAAGTTTCCTCTTCACACGCGTCTACATTCCTTAGTTTCTGATCGATTACATGTGGAATAAGGACAGTTTTAACATTATCTTTGTATCAACTAAACGGTAATAATTCGCGACTAGTGACATTAAGTGTTTCATGACAAATAAACACGCCGAAGTGAACAGTATATAAACACAAAGTACTAACAATGCAGAACTCAGACAGCAATGATGACGAACACGAACTACATTCAGAAACCGAGGACGATGTTAAGAAAAATAACTCTAAACACGAAGAAACTTCTTTTACAGCACAGGCGAAAATTGCTAAAGAGGCAGAATTAGGTGTATCTGAAGAAACTGGAAAACAGTATAAACCTTCGGAAAAATGGAGGATCATGAAGAATATAGTTGTGATCAGTTTAGCATTCATGGTCCATTTCACTGCATTCCAAGGAGCAGGAAATCTACAGAGTTCTGTCAACGCTGATGAAGGCCTTGGAACGGCATCACTGGCAACCATTTATTTCTCTCTTATACTCTCCAACGTCTTCCTGCCTGTTGTGATGATAAGGTCAGTCGTTTAGGTTATTTTATTATTATTTTAAAAAACAACAACAAAGAAACGATGTTTCTCGTCACACGTTCCATTTCGACAGGTGAGACACAGTGTAACCATAAATATCTCGAAACAAAATTCTGTCTCAATGTCTCTGTTATCTGTCAAAACATTTCCTGAATGTGATCTTTTACACTTAAGACAATAGGCGTGGGTACTAACATAGATATATAAGAGATAAGAAAGCAACACATTTTTTTATCGACACCAGTTAAGATTGTAATCACTTACTCACACGGAGAAATAAATGTCTTGACTACACAAACTTCTATCTATGAATGAAAGTTGACAGAAAGTTCCCACAGTTGTTAATTTCACACTTCCCGTTTGTTCTCTGTTCTACATAAATGTCATTTTCGGCTAAACAAATTAATTTCCGTAATTAAAGAATTTAAATAAATAAGTCATTCCACGCTGCAAGGCCTCATTTGAAAAGCTAATAGTTACTCAGCTGGTCTGTACCTTAAAATACTCAGCGAAGATAAATTCATCTTTTTTTCAACTTATCTCCTCCATTAAACACAAAATAACTTTTATTGTACCCACGAAACCTGAGATTATTCCTTAAAATAGGCCGCGACAGATTTATTCCTCTATCCATTTCATCTTATTATTTGCAAGTCTCCTTCCGTTCAGCGCTATGAATTGAAAGTAGTTGGAAAAACATCGTTAAATATACATATTCGTGGGAATGCTTGCCGTAACAGGCACGGCACAGTACTGTGAGAGAGGTGGCCGTGTTTCAGGAAGCTGGGATGCAAATGGGCAGTGGCCGTGTCCTTTATAGCCTACATGCCGTACATCGGGGCGCAGTTTTACCCCAAATTCTACACCATGATCCCCGCTGGACTCCTTGTGGGGTTGGGCGGGGGCCCCCTGTGGTGCGGTAAGTGCACCTACTTGAGCGTCGTCTCCGAGATCTACTCTGAACTCACAAACGTTCCTACGCACGCTCTAGTCGTCCGTTTCTTCGGAGTCTTCTTCATGATATTTCAGTTCTCTCAAGTCTGGGGAAACCTCATTTCATCCACAGGTACCGATATACTTTACCTTACGTAACACGAAACTCTATAGACCTTTGGCATGCACTATCGTTCATTGCTATAACATCGTTATCGGACGTATTTAAGTTTGCCTATTGGAATTCTGTGACGTAAAATATTAGCTTCTGTTGTAATTACCTACGGATTGGGCAACAGAATTTCAATTTCAGACACGAAAATTGGGGAAATTTCCCCTTGCCATCATGTACACATATGCATACACAATGTCCACCCCTGAATTACAACATCAACAACACGGTTAGTAATTTACTGACTTCAGAAACACGTGGGCAGTGATTATTCTACTTCAAGGAAGATTTGTCCCATTTTTATTTATATAAACCTGTTTATTTGGATATTATACGTAAATATTAAAGTACAATGCATGGTAGGCTGTACGTATACATAATCATTAGAGCCAATATTATTTTTTTACTGTAGACAACCTTAAGCCACTGTCTGTAAATTCTTGTCCTTAGGTTTACGTAGGAATGTAAAAACTATCCAAAGCTTCGACAAACATTGAAGTTATCTTCCCAAAACGCACAACCGCTAATCACCTTCAAGATATCAACAGCAATATTTGCCGAAACTCTGGATAGTTTTCAACTCATTCTCGAAAACTGACGACGTAGTTTCTGTAAAGTTGTTTATTTTAAATTCTAGACTATTTCTGCCTCCTTAGTAGACTTGTTTCTCTTCGCGTATAGTTAGTGGTGTAAAGTTGCAATTTCTTTGCACTCTGGCACACAACTGGTGACATCCCTTTGATATGGGATCCGGTGTAACACAGAAATACACTATCGTATCCATGCCCCTAACAAAATTCGAATCACCGGTACTAATATTAGACAGATCCAAAACCTTGAACGTCACATCAAAATTCCCATAATTTTCGCACTTGATAGACGTAAGTTATACGCACTTTCTCTGATCCTACCCTACACCGAGGCTCACTAATTGATACCGCTAATTGTGTGCAGTGTTTTCAATCGGAGATTCGAACAGGACACTCTTCAGTAACGTGTCCGAGATATGTGGAAAGAACTTCTGTCCGGGCAACGAAGCCAACGAGAATTCGAACATGCAACGACCTCCGGAAGAACAGATCTACATGGTAGCCGGCATATACTTGGCGTGCATGGCCAGTGCATGCGTCATCGTAGCACTTGGAGTGGACAGTCTCAAAAGGTAACAGAGTCCGAGATCTTTGCAAGCACGTATTCAACCCTGAGGGCTTCTAATACATTTCTTGAATCCCTTATTGCTGTTTATATTTAATTCAGAGGCGTCGTGTCTGACCCGGCACTTACGCGGTCTCAGAGTGAAAGCGACTCTTATTAACATGCTGATGGCATGAGTCAAACAGATGTAATAATCCCAGTGAATTATTTTTCCTCGGCCTTCGTTAATAAACACCACATCGCAGAAGTCGTAGATTCACGGCGTGTAAAAGAACCTTACGACCATGAAACGAGATGTTTTGTCTGCAAAATTTCAGCGGCTATTTCTCACCCAAGTCCCCTGATTCAGGTTAGAGTATAAATTGTGTAGAGTTACTACTCTCACTAACACCGGAACGTCCATTGGGCGTTGCCGGACACGAAAATGTAATGAAACATCGCAAAATATTTAAAATTTAAATTTAAAGATCGTCACGAGCTCTGTATCTGATACCGATTACTAAATTACCTACGTATTAGTATATTACGTATGCATTTCCTTACATTATGCATTTACATTACCATATATTTTAATATTATCAGTCTTCCATCGGTTATCCAAGTAAACACAGTTAAGAGGCTTCCTCTTGAGCTGCGTGTCTAACCGATGGAGAAACTCCACTGATTCAAGTGTCTTTATTACCTGTTAAAACATGCACATTTTATTTACACACAAGTCTTTTAAACGACTCTGTATCAGTCACATAAGCTAGATTATAAATTTCAGAATGAGAATAATTATGAGTAGGTGAGGATCAGGAAGGGGAGGGGGGGTGTATTTGAAGGAATAGTCCAGGCAGTCGTCTGAAAATACCAAGGAAATCCGACAGAGCCTCAAACTGTGAGATTCGGCCGTGACCGCTACATTAACCTGGTCCATACACATCCGTGGTAAGGATTTGTTCCGGACGACCTGCCGATGTGGCTACAAGTTTCTAATTCCCCAGGTACAATGAGGATACGCGCGAGGGAAGTGGTAAAGGGCTCTATGGTTTCCAGCTACTCGCTATCACGACGAAGCTCCTAAAAGAACGAAACCAGCTGCTCATCATACCCATCACCATGTTCCTGGGAGTGGAACAAGCGTTTGTTGGCGCCGACTATACTGCGGTAAGCAGCAGACTTCAGAAAGCCCAACACGAAAGATTCCATTGGCTTTTAATAGACCTTCGTCATATTTGTTGTGTCATTTGAAGTTTCCATGGCGATGTCAACATAGGCGATCTTCTGGTGGAGCAAATATAGCCATTTATAATCTGCGTTTATATGCAGTAAGCCAGATAACAACATGTGTTTTGCTCTTTTTCTAGGTCTAGTCAGATTTCACGCTTATAAAGCGTGTTCCATAAACTCTTATCCAATAATTCATCCTTCCAGCCCCTTCTTTTTCCAATGGCTTCATATAGAAATGCCAACTTGTGTATTCTTCCATGTTTCTTATACATTTTCTTCATAATCATGTACGTATTTATTCTATTATAAATTTGTTGATAAAAGTCTTAATTTAAACATCTTATACTTCAGTATACATTTGGGCGTTCCGACTTAAAATAAACCACGTGTTACAGATCTTTTATTAGACTCCTTGAACGCGGAATTGCCCCGTCAGAATTCAAAGTGTGTACCTAGAGACGGACTGTGCCTGTTTCAGGCATACGTGGCTTGTGCATGGGGAATCTCCAACATCGGCTATGTGATGATTTGTTACGGGATAACCAACTCCATATCAGCCATTGGAACTGGGTCTGTGGTCAAACTGACAGGCCGTGTACCCGTTGTTTGCTGTGCGTTCCTTCTACACCTGGGAATCTTCATAGGCCTACTTACCTGGGCCCCCACTCCAGACGACAAGATAATGTTCTTCGTTGTTACAGGGCTCTGGGGCATATGCGATGGGGTCTGGCTAGTACAGATCAATGGTAAGTGAACACTTCTTGAACACGCAATCTTATTCCTCAGGAAGACCCAGGTTTAGTCTGGAGATGGTAAGTTCAGACACAGCGGATTATTACAAAAAAAAGCATTTCCCTCTCTTTCAGATAAGTTTCGTGTTTCGAAGGGGCATTTTGTTTAAATGCATTTCCTGCAGTATTTACATTAGTCTGTTTAAGAATAATATATTTTGGTTTTATTAGAAGCAAAACTAGCATTAATGCCCTGATATTCTGTGTGGTAACAGAACTTAAAAAATATGGGTCTACACTACTTTATTTAGTCCATTTTCTTTTGTATAATCTATAATAACAATATGTGCAGCTATTAGAAATTCAGACCTCAAAGACCCTTAGCGTCAAATTATAGAATGATTAATACTCGGTGATGAACCTTTTGGTCCCGTAAGCCATCCAGTTATATACTATACAGGGGCACAGAGCGAATCGACAACATATTCCTGGATATTAGGGGAGAATGGGTAAATAGCTGTCACTTAAGAGAAAAGCTAGAGAAAACGAAAAATATACGCAAAGTTGAAACTTTATATAAACTGACATTTAGTCTGAAGGGTCTACTTCTTAAGTATGCAGTATGAAATACGTTGAACGTAACAAAAAATTCTCTAGGAAATGATAACTGAAGAAGTAGCTTTGACCGGTATTCCCCACCCTTAAGGGTAAAGACGGTCACTATTAGAGTTGCAAGATGTCACTAAAGTAAATAAGATAATGAGTGAATAAAATGTGTTTTCTTTGTAATAGGCATGTATCTTAGTTTACAAAATGTCTACACGTCTAAATCATTTGAACGTACAAATTCTAACAAAACAGTCACATGCAACTATCCCGGTAACTGCACGAGAAGCAGATAGTGGAATTCATTCACGAATGAAGCACTAGATGTCAGCACCAGCTTGAAGCATCTGATACCGTTCGTCATAAAAGTGCCTGGCCGCATTACCCACTTACCCCCTTCACATAGAAATTAATTGTTAAATTATACAGTTGTTAATTCATAACCCCTGATAGTAGGAACCGTAAGTTCTCATATTTTTTTAAAGTTATTGTAGCAGATGCCTAACCATTCTACTGTGTGCGTTTTCTCACAGCCTACTGTGGAATTCTCTTCCCTTCTCGAGAGGAAGCCGCGTACAGCAACTTCAGACTATGGGAGTCTTTGGGTTTCATCATTGCCTATGCATACAGCATGTATCTATGTGCTGCAGTTAAGATTTACATTCTTATGGCCCTTCTAATTATTGGCATGGCTGGCTATCTAACAGTCGAGTGGCAAGAAAAGAAGAGAATATAGCAATTACGAAACCTGTACCCTCTGTTAACCATCAGCGAGATGTGAAAATCAAGACAAGCACTTTTCCCCCTTATTTGAAAACAAAAAATCTGGAATAGCCTAAATTGTTTAATTATAAAATTATTTTTCAGAAGCATCTCCCCATGGAAACCACGGCCCCCATAGTTTTTCAAAACTTGATGCCTACATTACGTTTTCAGTAACAGACATCGTCACGTAAATTAAAATTAATTTTAATAAATTAACATTTTAACCTATTCAATTGAATAAAAATTTACTTGGATATTATCCATCGTCTAGTAAATATAAAACGTAAAAAACGACGTTTCGGAGATGGGACTCTATCTCCGTCTTCAGGTTCCTACACAGTTGGGCCCACTAGATAGAGCTAATCCCTATCTCCGGACTAGTATTCAGAAAAAAAAATATATACAGCCAGATTTTAGTTTGTAAAGCAACTAAGCCCAGGTGTACATTACCGGAGAAGTTTTTTTTTTAGTAATGACGCTATAAAACAATAAAACAACGTTTTATCTCACAAGCGCCGTTATCATTTAAGCTTCTTTAGAAGCATTTATTCATGTCTTAACGCTAAACAACCTATACCGTTTCCAAATGATATATCCATCTTTTTCTTGGTCGACCTAATCTCCTTCTTTGGCGAAGTTCATACACTGTTACCAACAGAGTTAATTGTAGAAATAAACGTACAAAACAGACACGGGAAAGGATGAAGACACGAAAGAAACCAAGAAAGGGAGAACTGTTTTAAGGGAAGAAACCTAAAACAGATCGGCAAATCAATTACCAACGTCTGGAGGCGAAATAGGTAAAGAGTCTAAACCCGCGAAGCTGTCGCTAAGAAAAATGCTGAATTCCAACGCGAGTCATTCACTTCTGTCAGTTCTATTCCGAAAAGGCAAGTAATCTTCAGTTCTCATCCCCTGTTTAGAGCCGTCACTAGGATTCATCTTACAAGACATCTAGAGTTACAGTTGTGTTATAGAAAGCTTCTCTCTGTAAATCTCAGCAAACTTATCCCGTTTCGATAGTCACTGTAGTCCATTTAATCCGTCTCCTTTTCACGTTGTTTGCAGAGTAAACGGAACAGAATCTGGCTGCTATTTGATATAAGAAATCGGAACAGGTTTTGACAGGATGTTTCAAAACGTAATATTTCAGTAGGCGGAAGGTAAACTACGTTAAAAGTCTCCATTTTAACAACGCTTTCTAAAATGTATATGTAAGTTAACAGCGTTGAATGACGAGATGTCACAAACTATGAACTGTGCAAACGAAGAAATAATCACACCTCAAGAGTTCGTTCATCTGCTTTATTACAACTCGACAGGAAAATGTTACAATACGAATATGTGAGGTCTGTCTTCATGTAAATGCTCTGGCCAATATCATACGGTAATGCTAGTAGAATATATACAATGAACTCTCTGGGAACACAACCCAGACACCGCTAATATCAAAGCCCGTCACTGGATACCATCCTGGGTGAGTATCCTACTCCCATCCTCACAACCCGGTTGCCCCATGACCCATATTAGTCACACTCCCACTTCCGAATCTGACCAGACACAAGATTTGAATAAATGTTCCGAATCCACGTACTAACGCCACGTCCTTAAACGCATGTAAGAGTATAAATCAATAATAAAATCTGGAATTGATTTTCCATACGCATATTTATCGTCATTTGTTAAAGTTATATGTTTACAGAGTAACGCACAGGTCTCTATGAAAACGCAAAAATTGTATAGATGGCACAGTAACTAATTTCCTTCTTGAGTTTCTTCCGTCATGTTGGTATTACCGAGTAAGGGAAATTAAAAAGTACGCGTTTGGAATAGTCTCAAATGGCACACCGTCCATACCAAATTTCCTTTCGTTGTAATTAAATGCGTAGACGAATATTATGAGAGATTACGCAGACAAAGGCCTCAATGTGCACGCGCAGAGGAACATGGGTGATGACGTCATCGTCGAGAAATATCATGACCAACAGCATCGGTCACGTCATGACTGTCGACTGCCCTCAGTTGTTCTCAAGTTGTATGGCAGGACGTATGGTTCATTTCTATATTCGTTTAACCCATTACTTTATTTACTGTCAGACTGTACTTTCAGAAACTGATAGAGGAGTGTGTTATTATTTAACATTTGGACATAATCCTCGGCAACATCCATATGTTGTGGGTTGAAGTAAGCTCACTCCCGTACTAGTTATTATAAACAACATTTGCTGAAAAATGTTTATATGACTCTGACAAATATCTAAAATTCAAATATCATCTTCAGTGGAAGGCAGTTACTGCTAGCGTATGTGTAAAACTTTAATTTCGTGCTTAAATATTTGACAGTAAGTATTTTATTTTATTTTAATTAATTATCTGTAGTCACCACATCAACTTTCTAGTCATAGCTATGTCGACACACGTATACGTCTGGTCTGTTATTAATTATTTACGGTCTTGTAACAATCATATTTTTATTACTACTGATTCATAATTATTATTCATACAAAATGCAACATACAAGGTAATATCACATTAATGGCTAATATCAGGTCTGAAAAGTTTCAAGGATTTATAACATTCCTTATGGATATCAAGATAAAACAGGATATTACATAGATAACATAAAAGCTACACATTTTATAAAATTTCAAGTATTTTTAGGCTCACAATGCATCCATACCAATCTGTTAGTTCTCAATAAACTTGGTATGGACTTTCAGTTACTGGAGGTTATCCTCACGTATTTTTCAGATCCCCGCTTCAACGACACCAACACAAAACTTGTATAAACATTTAATAACTGATCTGCATTAGCACCTTTCAATGTCAACACCAAACCGACCGGAAATAACATGTAAAAAGAATGAGAAAGAACAAGGGTACGAAAGCAGATTACAGAATACAAACGCAGGAGGGTAAAGACTTTAAGTTGGACAGTAACGACGCGGAATGAAACCGCAACGGGTCACATGACCAAATACTGAGATGAAGACGAAAATGTGCGCCTTCATTTGTCCTCCAAAGTTTTAAATGTTGGCAACATAAATTACTAAAACTTACATATAATATACAAAATTTCCAACTGATATTTACCAAATTTCATGCAGTTACTTAATTTCTGTCGGGATCTAATTACAGCACGGACAGACTTCATATTTATCACAGCAATAATAACGTATACATCAGAAACCAATACTGTCGTCTCTGCTGAGCTGCGAACACTTGACGTCAAGGATACGGAAATGTTCCAAGGTTTAAGTATTTATAAAATTAATCCGATTACATTCTTAAATGTAAAAATTCAGTCCCTATTACTGTGTGAACAATTTCTTAATATTACAAACCATTTTGAACATAAAATAATCAGTACACCAAAAGTCTGGAATGTGTTGTTACATGAGCGGCGAATACAAAAAAATCATGTTACAGCATTTTGGTAGTAAACACAGATCTAATACTACCTTCGTTTTAGATTTGGTTCAGAACGAGAAAGAATTTCCAAAGAAAGTAATAACTTTTTTTACTTCGACTGCACGTACCATATTTCATCACATAACTCTTAAGCAATGATCGAGAACTTACATGATGATTTATGAAAATAGTTATAAAATATCACCATTGCCTACCTGACCTAAGACTACACAAGAAACATTTTCTCTGAAGAACTGTGTAAGCCCTACACAAAGTCAATTTATCAATAAAATAAAGAATTATAATAAAAACAAGAAAATTTATTTAAAGTTTTCATATCGAGTCCATTGCATTCTGTAACACATATCCAATACACGGAGAACAAAAAATAGTTTCTCAACATCGGACATAAAATACACGGACAACTTGTTGAATCTCAGATCTCAATCAAACAAATGTTTCTTTGGTCTTTACCTCATGTTATCTGCAGCATTTGCACTCCAGATAACAAGACTTACAGCAAACAAACAGAACATGTCACTCCAGACGCTCCACCTCCGCTATCTTTCTCAGACTCTGATAAGAAGATTTTTCATATCCAACGTAAATCATTCTTAAGAACAGAATGCATAAGAAATGCACACTTCTTTTTTTCAGTTTTACGGTAACAAATGGGGCAGAGCGAATTACACGATCGCGCAAATTATATGATGAAAGACGTTACTCCCCCATATACACTCATAATGGATAAAGTTGCCAGTCCAAAAATGTTTCAAGACACCACCACTCTCAAACCCAATATGCTAATAGTTCGCGATAAGAAATCTCAAGTTTTTTTCTACTCCAAATAACACAGCACAACGCACGCAGCGAAAACTTAGAAGAGAATTTTACCGAGTGGCAATACTCTTCAGCTGACGACATATAAACTGCTTTTACGTAGATATACTTTGTTAATGATACATAAAAAGACTAAAGCAGTCCCGCTACATGCCATGTAGGCGCTTGGGGGGAGTGATCAGCATCATGCCCCAGCCTCGCTTAACCCCCAGGAAAGGACCCCGGTACCCACTTGATAGGACACAGAAGCTGGTGGAAAAATCCTCTGCCCCCGTCGGGGATCAAACCCCAGTCGAGCTCGTAGCTAGTCACTATATTGACTGAGCTATCCCGACTCCTGTTAATGATACGTAATATCTCTAAAATTCAAAATCCTAGCGCTATAAAATAAAAACTCAAAAGCAGCTAAAGATCTGAGTACAGAAAGAATTACTTATTATGGCTGCTGCACTGGGCAATGTAGACCTCCTTCCAGATACATGAAAGAACATTTGCTTTGATACAATCACTTAAATATAACAAAGAGGACAAAAATGCCACTGTCACTGTAAAGACCTATCACTTCCTTTCTTGTCCTGTAATGACAATTCTGGTTGTTTCTTGGAATTTCTCTTGGCACTGCTGGAGCGAGGGAAGAGTTTGCGAGCAGAAGAACGCATGAATGAGGGAAGCATAAGCTTGTCATGTTGTCGTGACGATGTCTTGCTCTCGGTCCTAGTGCTGAATAATAAAGAATCATTTTTATTATACCATAACTTTCCAGCTATCTTTAGATAAAGCTTCTCCAAATTCATTCACTGTACCACAGTAATGTGCCGCATTGATTAACTCACCCCTCGGGGGGAAATTCATTTTGGTTCAGATGACGCGCACGCAGAGACCTAGTGCGCTCTTCTCATTGTTTAAAGAAGTATTCATACTTCCTGGACAATGGCCAGTAACACACTTCTGCTTGCGAACATTCTGCGCCTGTCCGTACCTTCTCGAACAATCCGCATATTATCAAAATAAAATATTCATTTAATGACTGCGATACAAATTTTACTTTCAACTTGACATTCAGGGCAGCTTTATAGAAGGAGCAAAGCAGGCATCGACCCAGGGCTCACCGATTTCAGGTGATACAACTTTACGAGAATCAGTACCAGGTACTAAAACACTTGCCTTAAAAGCGGTCATACCGACAAAAAAATTACAATTCACAAAAATCTCCTGCTCTTGCTTGTCGTTACATAATCTTATATTGGTAAAAACATCACGCGAGCCACTTAAAGGGCCGAACGTACATACCGGTTCGCCATTCGGAGTAATAAGCAACATTACTAACAAATGATGCTGTAGCAGTAACATCTAAAGTTGCAAGGTACATAATCAACATGCAGATAGCGTTAAGACACACATCCTTAAGAACAGACAGACAAATGTCAAATCTATTTATTATGTTACAAAGATGGCTAACTTCTACGTTTGTCATGAAAACCTCAAATCCTACGTACCATCACTCCTACTATCCAAAGAACTGAAGATCAAGACATGCAATTACTACTACTAGTTTACTAGTTGTTTTAAACAAGTATGAAATATTATAATTGGGAAGTTTAGGGACTGGGCATCTAGGATCGGGAGACAAGAAATACACATATATAATTCTGGTCAAAAAAAAAATCTTTGGAAAAGGCCACTTGGAAGACCAAGAATTAAACAGTAACTAACAAAAATGAATTTCACAAAAATAAAATGAGGGATAGATGAAAGTGACTCCAGATAATTAAAATAGTGAAATATAGTACCAGTAGTGTTAAACCTTCAGGTTTTAGTACTCGCAAACTACGAGGGGCAGTCAAAAAGTTCCCGGAATTGTGGTATAGCACTGTAATGGTAGGACATATGGCAACGCTTACCTAATCACCTTCAAAGTAGGACCCTTGCGCGCACATCGATCCTGCCATTGTTAGAAGCACTGGTGGACGGCTCTGTTTGGAATCTTCCGCAGTTCGGCCGTCGCATTCGATTTGATGTCCTCGAAGGTTGCGAAACGCGTCCCCTTGAGGTCCATTTTCAGAGTAGGGAACAGCCAGAAGTCACTCGGAGCGAGATCCGGAGAGTATGGTGGCTGGGTGATGACGGGAATGCTTTTCTCGGCGAGGAATTGCTGCACAACCAGCGATGTGTCGAATGTGATGGCTGAACAATGCCATATGTCCTACCATTACAGTGCTATACGACAATTCCGGGAACTTTTTGACTGCCCTACGTACAACGGGACTGCACGCTAACAAGTTCTCATATTTGACTGTATAGGAAATACCTATTCAGAACTATGAAGAGAGATTACTGCAGTTGGAACACAAAAATACCTTACCAATCCGAAACACCATAAATAGTCGCACTACGTTTAACATTCAATATTTCACACTACCGACTGCACTGACCTTAAACACACCAGCCAAAATTATTTTTTATTGTTCAGGAAGCGTTAAACATCTCATAACACTCATTCAGTTATTTGCTTTTGCACTGTCTTTATGACCAAAATTTCTCCCACTGAAGCTCAAAAAACAAGCATATTTAGCTTTAATCAAAAACAGATATTACATTTCTGCCTACAAAATTTTATTTTAAAGCGTTACAGCAGGACATGAGATTTGAGGTTCTCATGGTGACAAGTATGAAGACGGATGTCTTCTGGGTTGTTCTGCTGCATAGTCTGGTGGAAGTCTACCAATATTTAATCGGTGCCGGGGATGACCGTCACATTCCGTTGGTGGCAAGGAGCGCCGTTGGTCGGAATTGGTTCGCAGGGCCCAGAGAGTTCTACTTTCAGCTGCAGACGGGTTTCCCTCGGACATGATGGAGGTCTTCAGGAGCCTAACACTCTCCTGTTGAATCTCCTCAGCCACTTCCTCTGACAGAGAACTGACGGCCTTCTGCACGCTGCCGAGGACATCCTTGATGAACAACAACGCAGCATCCTCCAGTTGCACATCTTTCAGATTGACTACCATCTTCCTGTCGTTGGCCACAGAGACCGAGTGGCGGGGTCCATGCAGCTGCTGGAATTTGTTGCACTGCCTGGCTTTGTTGTCAACCGCAATGTGCGACACCTTCTCAGATATGATGTAACCAAGAAGGGCACGGACTTCGGCCGACAACTCACCAGTCGAGTGCGGGCTTAGTCCCAGCAGCACATGGGAAATCTCAACCACCAAGCAATGGGTGTGGTGGATGTACTCGGAGAAGGACGAAGTTGGTCCCTTGGTAGACTTCTACCAGACTACATGACGAAACAATCCGGAAGACAGCCATCTTCCTTATGGCAACATGTTTCAAACTAATTATCTTCAGGCTATTTTTATACAATTTTACTCTGCTGTAAAGTACAAAATACATGTACAGATTCGTTCCATCAACTGATCTATTGTGACATATATTTTGTATATTTTAATAATAATTCCTTTGTTGAGGTCATAAAATTATTAGAAAATATACAACTTCTTAAAATTTATAGAACCATCAAAATAAACTTTCAATTTGTCATTTGAAACTGAAATTATTTTTGCGAAACATAATTACATAATTATTTCGCCGTGATGCTTCTCTGGAACGGAATACATTTATTCTTATGCTTTAATGGACCTGGCTTTTGGATTTTTTGGGCCATACGTCTGCCGTCAGTTATACATTCAGCATCACATATATTTTCTTATAAAAAATGTATAAATTCAAATGCGTAATTTTGGATCCGTTTCAATGAACTTAAGTAATACATCGGTGCTTTCTTGTGAACACAGGGCAGTAATAAGAGCACAGGACAAAGATCTTCATTTATATAATTTATGTATTCACGTACAGCGCTAAAAATTCTGTGAAGTAATGTAAATAGTAACGCTCTGCTATATTAGTGGAAACAATTTTGTAAAATGTAACATGCCTTTCTTCACAAAGCACAAAGCACGAAATACTCAACATCCTTAAGACATTATTAAATGGGTTAAATGAGAGGTGAAAGTTAACATGGGTTTACCTTGACATCGCCACATCATGACCTCACTCTCCCCCGGGTTCACAAGACTGTCGATCTGAACGTGTCCTCACAAGGCGTTCAGGATGGGAATATGCCAACTGGGAAAAATCCCTTACGACATCATTAAAAGTGTT